GGTATGTACCGTTGCCATACAGAACATGACAGTAATCAGATATTCCGTTGCCATACATGAAGTAACTAACCAGATGTACCGTTGCCATACAGAACATGACAGTAATCAGATATTCCGTTGCCATACGTGAAATAACAAATCAGATGTACCGCTGCATCGTTGCCATACAGAACGTGACAGTAATCGGATGTACGTGGCTCCACCTGTTGCGTCGATCACACAGAAAGTGGGACCAAGAGTGCGTTTATCCTGACAGATGGAGGTACAATGCCATTTGTTCTTCATTTTTTATTAGTTGGGTTTATCTTTAATTAACTTGTTTGTTCATTTTTCTTGTTTTTTTTATTTAAATAATTTCCCGCATTGTGGTTAGAGCAATGCCAAAAATGTTTTTTGGTATTTGCTACTTCTGTTATTTCTTGCTTCATGGTATGATTTGGTATTAGTATCAAATATTTTATTTATTTATTTATTTTTATCTTGTCCGCTACCACCATCATCTGCCGTTTCATGGTATTATCTTAAACATCAAGTACCGTTTAAGAACGTCATTCCTTGCCTCATGGTAGTATTTGGTATTAGTATATATTTTTTTATGTTTTTTTTTATCTTGTCCGCTTCCATCATCTCCCGCTCCATGGTATTATTATCATAAACATCAAGTACCATTTAATAACGTCATCCATCTTGGCCATTGGTATTATCTTCAGCCGGCACTACATAGGGCTTTCACTCTGTATTACGCAATCCCTTTTACTACAGGACGTGATTCAAGAGCCTTTGTATTTTTTTATATTTTCATTTTATTTATTTTTTTTTGAAATGGAAGTGGGCGGAATTGTAACATTAAATATATTCATGTGTTCTCTGTCTAATTACGGAGTGTAGGGGAGAAAAGAGGAACCGGTTGAGTAGTTCGGTAAAAGAAGTTTATGTGTCGTTATATAGGGTGTGTATAGAAGGTGGTATAGTTTATATGTAACAGCTGCAGCTTCGTAGCAGGATGAGGGTGCTACTTCCTATGAAAGTTAATGATCAGATTTTTTTATGTCAGGTGTTACCTTGATCGTTTTTTTTTTTTTTTATATTCTCTACTGTGTGTGTGTGTGTGTGTGTGTGTGTGTGTGTGTGTGTGTGTGTGTGTGTGTGTGTGTGTGTGTGTGTGTGTGTTTATTTATGTGTGTAAACCTTTTCACTGGATAAACGAGGTAAGCATTGTGCGGGCGTCTCTTGAGTGGAAACTTGTCCAGGTTACGCCAGTGCTTAGGCAGGCTGTACTTATCGGCTTCATTCCAATCCGCTGTACCCTCGCATTGATAGCACCTGTACCCTAGCCAACCGTAGCGTGCATCATCTTGATACCTCGAGCATCCACGGCACTCGGGGTACTTTAACCTTGTCTCCTTATCTAACCTATCTAATAAGTCTATTGTCGGAGGAAATAAAAAGTCGAGATAAAGTCAGATATTATGAACATTAGTGCTCTCTCCCAGGGCCTGTTCGTATAGCATTGTAGCGCCCTGAACGGAGATTACGCTGGTTACTGTCTGGTCACTTCAAGAGAGGCGCAACCCAAGTTTCTCATAATCCCGCGGCCCTTATCTGCGTCGCTATCTCCGCTATCAGACAAAGCATCACCAGCAAGAGAGGAGATGCCTCCTGCTTCAGACCCCCATAAACCACCTTTCAGAAGGTGCTTTACCCGTGTGTTTGTTATGAGACTATCGGCCTTAGGCAAGGGCAGCGAGTGGCTCCCTCTTGGACTTACTACTACGACTGTCACCGAGACTTCCCATGGAATTACATCGGCCGGCGGGTCATAGATATCGGCATCTTTGGCTCGTTCTGTATGCTCCCGCTGTAGTGTAGTGAGACGGAGCCGGGCGTGCGGTTGCGGGAGGTGAGACGCGGTCTTGCGCCTTCGTTTCAAACTGATCCTGCGGAGGAGCGACCGCCGAGGAGAACTCTTTTGCGATGGCGTGGATGTGTTCGATCTAGCGAAGGCGAATCCTGGGCCAGGTGGAGAGATCCGGATGCAGCGTGCTCGGTATCGGTCGATATCAGATATCAGGGTTGGGGTATCAGTGGGCCAGCCTCACTCGCTCTCCTACAGTTGTGCGGAGCGCTAGGACCCCGCCACTTCTGTCAGGCCTGCTGCACGCCTTCGCCTCCCCCCCTGGCAGGCAGTGTGCGCGAGGAGTGTGCTAGTGGTTGCGTTCGGGAGTGTGAACCCATGTAGTGTGCGCCTGTATGCCTCGGTACGACAAGACGTGGCTTTCCCTTCATTGTTTTCTTGTAGGAGGTCGACGCGAACGAGAGAGAGCCTACCAAGATGGTCCTTCCGAACACGCTGGACTACTGCGTACTAGAGGAACACGAGAAACACATGCCAGATACGGTGCTCTCTCTCTCGCGTGGCATGGCGACCGACACACGACACTATGAAAAGTTTTGAAAAGAACATTGAACGAAGAATTATGCTTTTTTTTTAATCAAATTATTCATATGCCTTAACTGGTGGTGCAGAAAAAAGTTAAATGGCAGTGATAAATAATACTTTTTAAGGATTGTTGTTATTATTTTCATTCATGATTTTCCTCGAATGCGCGATGATTTGTAATTACACTCCCTTTACAACAGACTTTTTTGAATGGCGGAACTTGGAAACATGCGTATTGTAGTTGTGACAAAATCATGATTATCGCCAAAACATGTTGAGCTCTACTTGCATACATACATAGTTTAAGACAGAAACAAATATGTATATATATATATATATATATATATATATATATATATATATATATATATATATATATAATTATACATATACATACACATATACATATACATACACATACACATTTATACACATAGACATTTGCGCAGTGAACTCGTAACCGTCATATTACACACACGCGCGCGCGCTTTCTTACACACACACACACACACACACACACACACACACACACACACACACACACACACACACACACACACACACACACACACACACACACACACACACACCAACAAACGAACAAACAGACTCACTGTCCCACTCACTCACATTCACATACACATTTATACGCACATTTACACGCACACACACACGCACACGCACACACACACACACACACACGCACGCACACGCACACGCACACGCACACGCACACGCACACACACACACACACACACACACACACACACACACACACACACACACACACACACACACACACACCCTTGCATATCTATTATTTCCCAGCATACGCAACATATTGATAGTATGTGTTATAAGGCAACATTTGAATTGCAGAAGTGAAAATCTTTGCGTGTCCGAGAACTTGCTTGCAGTCGAGAGCGAGGATCCGCCCGTGTCATTTCCTGCCGGAGAGGACCGCGCTGCACAGATGCCCAAAGGCCTCGGCGCCCGTGTCACTGGACTCTGATTTCCCGTCGGTGCTTTCTGGTTGGCGAGAGTCCGTGCGCGGCTCGGCGGCGGCCCTGGCAAGATGAACAACGAAGGCGTGGGGAACGGCAGCCCTCTGTCGACCGACACTCTGAACCTCGGCATGGGCACGGGCGTGAGCGAGGTCGTGGGCGTGGTTGGGTCGACGCGGCGCACCTCGCGGGTGTGGCGCTACTTCGGCATGGTCGACAACTGCCACTACATCTGCCGCCTGTGCTCCTTCGTCGGCGCCTACACCAACACCACCAACATGCGCAAGCACATCCAGCACCACCACCCCGAGCGGTTCCAGGACATCCTGGACCACACGCGGCCCACCACGCGCCCCTTCTACACCAACACGCTCACCCGCATGCGGCCGCCGAACTACCCCCACGCCGCCGCCCAGGGCCACTCGTACCCGCTCGTCTACTCGCAGGGCCTCGCGCCCAAGAGGATGATCCTACCCAAGCCCGCGGAGCTGAACTTCGTCCACGCCCACGGCGGGGGCGCGGACCATACTCTGACCCCGACGGTGCCCGCCCAGCCGCCGCAAGTGCCTTCGTCGCAGCAAGTCCCCTTGCTCCAGCCGCCCACGCAGGCGCCCGCCACCTCGGGCTTGTCCTACTCCTCCCAGGCGCCGTCGGCCGCCGTGGCCACGCTGTCGGCCTCGCCGGCGCACCCGAACACGGTGACCGCCTGCGAGCTCAGTCCGGAGGAGTCGAAGCTCGTGAACCAGTTCTTCCCTCCCTTAGGCGAAGCCACCGAGTGCTCGAGCGATTCGGACACCACGTCTCGAGGTGAGGCTAGGCTCGGTGTTATATACATGCAGTGTTATTGTACGAGAGCGGCGCGCGGCAGTCGCCAAAGCCTCGTTTGTTTGTTGTTATGCGTCCTGTCGTTTTTTTTTTGCTTTTTTTTTCGTGGGAAACGGTTCCCTTTCTGTGGCGAGGTTTATGATTTTGTTTGGTAATGAGTGCATATGGAAAGAAGAAATTTACTTCACAATACGATACTATCCTGAAAAATTCGTGACAGAGAGAGAGAGAGAGAGAGAGAGAGAGAGAGAGAGAGAGAGAGAGAGAGAGAGAGAGAGAGAGAGAGAGAGAGAGAGAGAGAGAGAGAGAGAGAGAGAGAGAGCGAGACAGAGTGACATAGAGACAGAGACCGAGACCGAGAGACCGACCGAACGAACGAACGAACGAATAAATGCAATAACCGATTTCACAATATACCAGAGTTTGCCGGCGGGAAAACATGGTTGGACGTACCTGGGGATGTACACGGAAGGCGCGAGTATTTTCGAAACCGCGATTATTGTGACTGCTAATAAGTACACAGAGAGGTGTGTTTGGCAAGCGATGTAGACGTAAGGATTGGTCGGTATCGGGTATCGGGTATCGGATTATCGGGAATGGATATCGGGTATATCGGCACGCCCTCTTCATCACTATGCAATAGTGGCCAGTATCCATATAGATTGAAACTAAGAAACTATTGCAGGAGGTTTTGGCACTCGGGTTTGAAAGGAGTTAATAATGGGAAGTTG